ATAGAGACGATCATACAGCCTAATCTCAACATATTTTGGACACTTCAGGATGTCGGCTTTTTTAATGAGCTTCTTTCTGACCGCGAATTAAAAGTATGCACTATACAAAGTAACTACTTAAGTAGTTTGCCTTTTTGTCATTGATTTTGACTGCCTTAATACATTCAAATATATCTTTTTCTTGTACTCCTATGGTAGCAAATTAAGCCTTCTTTAAATTTTATATTTGAAGAAAGGGTATCTTTCCGTTTTGAAAAAAATTTCTAAATTGTCGAATAGTTTTGAAACCTAGTGATTGCTACACTGGAACCCAAGGTTTACAAACTGCGCGCTGTGTACATCCTGTTTAAGGAAATGTACTTTTTCGCCTACAGCTTGAGGAAGATCTCACATAGTTCTCATAAAAGGTTGCAATAGATATGGAGCATGCTTTAAACAGTGAAGGCAGCATTAACAAATCGACGGATACGATGTTCTATGGATGAACGCATGAAAATTGTAAAAAAGCTCAAAATTAGAAATTTTTTGAAAACCGAAAGATACCCTTTCTTTAAGTATAAAATTTAAAGAAGGCGTAAGTTGCTACCAAACGAGTACAAGAAATATTTTTTTCGTCCATGTTTTCCAAAAAATATATTTGAATATATAAAGGCAGTCAAAATCAATGACAGTAAGGCATACTACTTAAGTAAACACTTTTTATAGTACATACTTTTACTTCGCGGTCAGAAAGAAGCTCATTAAAAAGTCGGCATCCTGCCGTGACCTAAACATAAGATGAGGCTGTATGATCGTCATTTTTAAAACCATACGTAATTAATATCTTTGAATCGAAAACGCATTTCAGAATTCCGGGTGACATTTCATGAGATAGGGAATCTACTGTATGATGGCGGTCCAGACATAGTACTCGACGTTAGTCATCGGCACAAAGCAAGGCTTTTGATGGTAGGTGTATAAAAAAACTCCGGCTACGGCCCTTTGATTGTTGCCCTTGCTCTTTGAAATCAGGCATCAGTCATCAGACAGAGACGAAATGTACCTTTTCAAATGTACCAAAAGTAGTTGCCTCGAGCAAAATATTCAGCTACACCTTATTTTTCATTCTCATTTCCCTGCCCATCATTTTATTGTATTGTTGTTGCGGCGGCCAATTCATAGAAGAATACGCAAACCCAGTCGCACTTGCGGTTTTATGGCAGCTCGGGCTTTACAAGGCCTCTCCGCCCGATTCTTTGTTGGCATTTCTGCCAAGTATTGTTCGCTGTTTCTTTGCGAAAGCAAGTAGAGATTCCT